CAGGAATCAGTCAAAATCAACCAAGAAGAGATCGAACTCGAAAGTTAGGTCTATCAAAGAAAAGTGTTAAAACTGCGACCATGAGGATCATATGTCTTCAGCGTGTAAAGCATAAAAAAGGACACGAATGAACAGGAGGCTCATCTCGTGCAGGATGCATTGATCCTCGCTATGGGTCATCGACTCAGGAGCCTCGTTCCACGTCACTGCTAATAGGAAGCTTCTTCATAACTATGTAGCAAGGGACTTTGGAAAAGTATACTTGAGAGATAATGAACCCTGTAATGTTGTTGGAAGAGGAGATGTGCAAATATAGTTGAAGGGCTCCAAGTGGAATCTGAAGAATGTGAGGTACGTATTGAAACTGAAAAGGAATCTTATTTCGGTTGGCCAGCTTAGAACAGAAGGTTGTGTTTTGACATTCACCGGGGATTCGTGGAGGATCTCAAACGGTACTATGGTTGTTGCTCAAGACAACAAAACAGGAAATTTCTACCTCACCTCACATGCGAATGACACCCTCGCAATTACAGCTAGCAAATAGAGTACGGATCTGAGACACAATAGATTAGAACACATGAGCGAGAAGGGGATGAAGATTCTACATTCATAGGGGAAACTAACCGGCATCGATTCCGTAAAAGTCGGTGTTTACGAGGACTGTATCTTTGAAAAACAGAAGAGAGTTAGATTCCAGAAGGGTGGAAGGTCACCTAAAGCTCAGAAACTATAGTTAGTTCATACTGACATATGAGGTCCAGCTAGCGTGTCCTCTCTTGACGGTTCGACGTACTATGTCACTTTCATCGATGATCACTCGAGGAAGATGTGGGTATACTTCATGAAGCACAAGTCAGAGATGTTCGGGATCTTCAAGAAGTGAGAGGCCATAGTAGAGAACGAGACAGATCTGAAGATGAAGTATTTAAGATCAGACAATAATGGCGAATACGAGCTGGAGGAGTTCAAGAGGTTCTGTGCTTTAAATGGGATTCGTTTGGAGAGGACTATTCTAGGGACGCCGCAGCAAAACGACGTTGCAAAGAGGATGAACAGGACATTAACAGAGTGTGCCAGGAACATGCGATTACATGCAGGTCTGCCTAAGATATTTTAGACGGATGTTGTGCATACGACAGCTTACTTAATTACTTATGGGTCATCAGTTCTATTGAATTACGGGATTCCAAAAAAAGTTTAGAGTGGCAAGAAGATCAATCTCACATTTTTGAGTATTCGGTTGTGTGACATATGTTCATATCAGTGATCATGTCAGGGACAAACTAGAGACTAAGTCACAGAAGTGCACATTCATTGAATACGGTATTGATGAGTTCGGGTATCATCTTTGGGATGAGAAGAACAGGAAGATCATCAGAAGCAGG